CAAATCGCTTTAGCGTCACAATTGGGTCGAGCATAGCGGGACATGTCGCGGACGTGCGGACGTGCCGCGGCTCCGAGAGGCTCGGTTCCCGTTAGCTGCTGCTGTAGCCATAGACATATAAAGAGTAGACGCTGCATTGGCTGCTGAGGCGCAAACAAATATTTTTTTATTATATTATATACCAGAATATTATTACTGTTACGCCTACTATGAATATTAAAATACGCCGAATCATGTTATCGGTGTCATGCCTACAAAATCCCGTGAACATCCGCTTTTGTATTCAGCGAGTGACGCGCTGACACTTCGTTGCGCCAGCTGGCACTGAGTGGAGCGGGTGACCGGTCCAAGCTGGCGGCCCCGCGGCTCGTCAGCACCACTAGGCAGCAGCGGTCGATGTCTATTCTTTATGTCTATGGCTGTAGCTGCTGTAAGCTTAATTTATGCTTCCACGTTACGGCGGCGGCGTAACCCCGTCATTGAGCAAGTTCTCCGTTGCTCTGCAGTTCCCCCCCATGCCGCTAGGCGGGTGTGGCTGTGTGTTTCTGCGGGTGCTGAATCCTTGGTGAGCCGAATCTCATATTGAAGCGCAGGCTACGGAGAAGACGTGAATTTACAACACTGGTTCACCCACTGAGGGACCTGGATGAGCAAGTGCACTTTCGATACTTTCCGAATGTCAGCAACTGCCGCAAATTACGTTCTGAGCGGACCAATCACACCACGTCAACTCGACTCGCAGTTAGATTTTTTCGGAGGTGCACGTCAGGTTACGGCGGAGGGGTCTACGTAGTTACTCAATATGTATATTTTCCTTTTTTCTTTCAGATTGTTCTTTAATGTACTGTGGTGCTCTGGTGGTAAGTAATAAGTTGATGTACTTGACCGAAAATGTATTTGTGTTTGTGATTTTTAAAGCTGAAATAGGGTATTTTCAGGTTGTCAGCTTGTATGGGGTTGTAGATCATAATGTTGATTTCAGTTTGCTGTCTTTGCAGATACCATCATGTTGATCAAAACAGTCCTGTCATCCAGCACCAACCAAGATCTTTGCCACTGTGATAAGATGTGAGCTTTACATGTTTTAGGTTTACTTTTGATGCCAATATTTCATGTTTACTTGGAATAAATATGTATTACAGTATGGATACAATTGTCTGTGTGTTTTTCCCCCTGCATAGATATGCAACACTGGTAGGAGTTGGTTAAAAATCAACACTCTTTGGAGTGATTTCATAATCAACATAGTGTAAAGTAGGTTTAACACTGGAAAGGTTATTTCTTTTATAACTCTTTAGTGTTACATGTGAATAACACTATGGGTGTTACTTCTTACATAGTGTAAAACTTGATTGACACTTCTTAGAGTTAATATTATTACACTACACTGCACCTAGTGTAAAATTTTAACTCTTACCAGAGTAAAATTGACTCTGGAAATTTAACTCTGTGTTCAGTGTACATTTAACACTCTGTAGATAGGGACCATATGTTCACTGAGGTAGTGTTAAAATTGACTCTTTAAGTGTTGTATTAACACTGGCGATTTTACTGTGTAGGGCATTTTCTGCAACCTAAAAGCATGAAATATAATTCAAACGTTTACTCCTGCAAATTAAGGCTCTGAGGCAGGCAATCCTAACGGTGATATATATATATATATATATATATATATATATATATATATATATAGATATAAAACGGCTGTATAAAGTAATCCAACCTACGGCCAAAGTGATGAACAACCCTGCTGGAAGCAGCAGAATAGTTCATTATAGTAAATATGTTCTTCACCTTGCAAATTTGGGCCTCATCTAAAATAATAACGTAAAAAATACAACAGAAAATTTGTGAAAAATGTATTGCAAATGCTTACTTCTTCGTACAGATGATTTTTTTTGATAAAGTTTTCATCTTAAATCCTTACTCTTAATAAACAGATTTGAATTCATTATCCCACAGAGGGGATTTCATCCGTGGCCAACCGCCGCATGCAGACGCTTCATTTGTGTTTTTTCATATATTGTCACCCATAATAAAAAAAAGTCCACTCTGATTGAACAACCAGTTGAGCTGCAGAACTCCTTGTTCTGGATGAACATTGACCGCGCACGTGAGTACACAGCAGTTAGTGGGAGACAAATACAAATACATCAACACAACACAACACAAGTATTGGTTATTTTGTTTCTCTGCTGTTTTTTGTCTAAACCGTCGCCTACGAGTGTGCGAGTCTCCACACACCTCGCCCGCTGCAGTGCGCGCCGGACGTCCGGCGGCGGCGACGCTATTATTTTAGTGCGGCGGCGACGCGCGTGCCTGCGCGCATCTGTGTGTGGCCTTCGGGAGAAGTGGAGCCAAAGTGAAGCCTTATATAACCGGCTTAGAAGTGAGCTGCAGTCGGACGGCAACACAGGCCCGGCAGAGCGAGGAGAGCGCGGGAGGCGGTGCGGTTTCACAAGAGAGGACGATGAGCACCTTAAGGTGCAAAATACTCTCGAGCAGCCTCTGTTACGCACGTAGCCCAGCTGATCGGTTAGAACATCTGGGGGGGGGGAAACATGCGCCATGCAACTGCGTAACTATAATTATTCTTTTTTAATGCCGGTTGTCCTTTTTAATGTCTATTCCGGGTGCATTCTAATTGTTTTTGTTGTTATTTGTGTCATCTAAAGAATGGTGTGTGTTTGTGTGTGTGCGCGCGCACGCGAGCAAGCTGTTCAGTTGCGCACGTCGTCCTCAGCATCTTTGATTGGGAAAAGTGAAATGTCAAGAAAAACAGGCTGTTTTTTTCCTTGCCTGCTTGATTCGCACTGCTCTGCTCCTCGTCCACACTTTGAAGGGGAAAAAGATGTCAATCAAGCTCAGTTTTTACTCTTTTTCCCAGCGTGTTGCCAGGCCGGTAATGGTTGCTTGATTTCTGCCAGTCCCATTTTGTCATTTTCCTCCCTTATGATGGACATCTGACTATTTGAACCCATCATCACTTGACAATCCTTTCAGTAAGTAGTTCTGACGTTGCGCTGCGCGACGCAGGTGGTTGTCTGTCATAATGAATTAGCTGCAGTTGTAGCTCGGGGGTTATTTAGCTAAAAAATGCTTTATGCTGCATTATGTCAAAAAAGAAACAACAAGAAAAATCAAGAAGAAAGTTAATCTGTTCACCCTTGGTCCAATGTCTCATTAACGTTTGTCTTGATTGCAGTGATATTTTGAAGAGGTATTCGTGGTCTCCACAGGATGATTCCTAATGACGTTGATGATCTCATTACGTTTCACAGCAGGTCCAATGTATCACTTGAGCAGTGCAAAATCCAGCCAACCCTTCATGATTCCCAGCCGATGGTTCTATATGGAGATGAACACACTTACCCTAAAGGGCCGCCAGCAAGTTGACAAAACGTTGAAAGACGGGGAAAAATGGGTTAGGATGTTAACTTCCCTTTTCCTGGGACGAGTAAAGTGTTTTTCTGGGCATTCAACACTAACAAACTAAACACTGTCTGATAAGTCTGATCATTTAAATAACAGCTTTAGTGTGAAATGATCGGACTTTCAAAGAAGATGGAGTTAATTTATATTTGTTGTTATCAATGTAGACGAGTTGTGCATCGTGATATCTCCATGTATGACATAATTCCACTGACTGACATTGAATTATTGCCCACCGTGGTTGTGTTCTTAATGCATTAAATTACATTGCAGTTGTATTTTGTGTATTTTGGTATTCAATGTAAAAAAAAAGGTGTTCTACTAATTTTGAAATTTCCGTGTCTGAAGTGCTGCATCCGGGCTTCATTTGGTCTATTTTCTGTGACGTCTGCATGAAGTGTACTGTACAATAAAAATAAAGTAAAGAATGACAATGGCAAGGATGACAAAACAAGACCAGGACCAAAGCCGATTTTGTATTTTTAGTCCATAAGAACGAGGAGCAGGACGGGTGACACCAGCAGTTCATCAACAAAGCAATAAAGAGACATTATGATGGAAGGCAGCGAGGAGGAGGGTATTTTTCTCCCTCCCCGCCCCCCCCTCCATCTGTCTCTGTGTCTGTCTGTCATCATCTTCTCCACCACTCTTTTCATTTAACAAAAACAGCCAGTGGGCTGATGGGGATCAAATTACACTCACCTTTTTACCTGCACTCCTCTGCGCAATTAGCTTCACGCTAACTTGTCATTTCAAATTGACACGCTGCTGTTATGCTATGTAATTATTCACCCGCCTGGGGAAAAGCTCTCTGATACAACCACCACCAAATAATGACACACACACACACACACACACACAAAAGCACCTGTGGCCTGTTCTATCTGCAACATGTTTAACATGCCGTTTCCCATTACAGGGTCATCGTGTGTTTGGTGGTCTAATCACTACTCTGCGTTCTGTGTGTCAGTCGCAACCGGTCTAATTGTTGTGCATTTTCTGTGTGGTTCCACTGCTCAAAGGTTGCCGTTACGATTTTGGGGGGGTTTGAGCACCAGGAACCGAACCCGGCTGTTCTTCTTAAAGGTGGCCTCTTCTTTGCCTGTTCTTTGAAAACCTTTTGTGTGATGGAGTGGGAGGTTAGAGGTTCTGCTCTTCAAAGCACAGAGGCCTTGTTACTCCATTTTACCTTTTTATTCCCCTTTGCAAACCCCACTCGGCTCCCAATAAAAAGTTAGGCTCAGGGAACAAGGTTTAGAAGGGAGAGAAATATGAACCAAGAAACAACAGCAGACGTTTTCTTCCGCAGGGGGAGAAAGTTTTCTTTGATCTTGTGTCTTTTCTTGTTATAAATCTGTGTCTGTGATGCCTTTTGTTTTTGCTTTTGTACTCTTTTTAAAGACAAAAACCCAACACAAAACAATAAGCAAACCATGAACTCTTGCTGATTTGTCCTTTTTGCTCTTTCTTCTTTTCTTTTTTTGATATTCTTTTTTTTCCGTTTTTGCCAGTAATCTTTTTTGAATTTTCTCTTTTCTCTTTTTCCCCCCTTTTTTTCTTAACCCTAGGTCCGCTCACAAAAAAACACGATGAATCTTCAATGAACAAGCCTCGAGACGAAGGTATTTTTGTTGCATGTTTTTCCTTTTTTCTTGTTTTGAAGTCTTTTTGGGGGCTGTGTACACATAGAGTGGAAAACACACACACACACACACACACAGACACACAAGTCAAACATCTCTTGGGTGGGACTCTGGATATGAGATGCATACCGATGTGTTGGTGTAAGTGTATGTGCTGACCATTGCTGACTTTTTCCTATGCAAATCCTAGCCTAATAATAATAATGATCATAATAGCCTTACATAAGGCCTGGCTGATGAGACCCAGACCGTCATTATAAAATCCTCGACAACCAGTGGTTTGTGTTTACCGGAGGTAGACACCCGGCTCTCAAACAAAAGCGAGGCGCCATATCATCTCCAATGTGCCTTTGAAAATACATTGGCCAACTAACAGCATTGTGCCGGCGCAACAAAGCACCTATTGAGAGCAGATTACACAATGAGGTGCGTTATTATTGCGCCTCAAGCCTCAGCTCAAAGATGAAATTGCTATTGAGTAAGGACCTACACAAATACTGAGCTAAGTCAATGATGATAACATCAAATCAAGGAAGGACCAAAATAAAAATTCAAGGACACTTGTTACTTACTTTGGAACATTACACTGTGGAGGTGATTTCATCGGCGCTCTCACCCTTGCTTCTCGGAGAAAAAGATGAGTGATGAAAGATGATGATGGGATACGTATTTCTCTTTGTGCTATTTCGAGGGGGGTTGTGCGGTTGAGTCCCCCCCCCCCCCCCTTTCTCCGGGATGCTCTTTGATTTGGGTCTTTTTTTAAAGTTGGGAGTCGGAGGAAGTTTGACACAAGAGGATTTGCTTGGTGATCAAACGCGCCGGCACAGACGCAACTTTTCTCAGTCAGCAAGCACGCAGAAAAACAGCCGAGCCACGAGGCTTTTTTAACCTTCCTCTGAATATTAATTTCATCCCTCATCACAACATACGATTAACAACATTCGATGTGGAGCTGTTGATCCTTCTTCACTAACTCTGCAACAAAATCCCAAACTGGAAATCATCTAAGGTCAAAGTAGGAAACTAGAGACGAAATGAAGTCATTCATGGATACTTTACAATATACACGTCTGGCTCAACAATGCACAAATAGACTGCACAAGGAAGTGTAACCACATGCACTGTCATGAAGGAAGTAGATGACCTTCTTTGCATAATGCGACAGATAGGTGGGGGGAATACAGGTAATCCACCCTGCCACTGGAAATGACTCGCTGGTGTAATCTAGTTAGTTCCACTGGTGTCAGATCACCAGACAGGATCCGAATAATACTGAAGTCATTATCATAACCACAACAACACAAAACAAGGCAACCAACCAAAAGAAATCACTAAAAGATGTCAGGGTTCTGTCTAGAACAGGGGTCTCAAACTCAAATCAGGTGCGCGCCAGACCATTACGGTCAACGGGGTGGGGGGTGGCGGCGCTGACAGTCCGAGTCGGGCCGTAGTTTGAGACCCCTGATTTAGAACATCTTGGTTGTTCTCATTTAGCTTTGTATTTATTAGGTTATTAGTTTGATATATAGGGGTTGTATTGAACAATATATGGTATATGTGTATCTGGTTAGTAGCAGACTGAAATTGATGCTACTATAATTAATTGTGTAAATGTGTAAATTATACATGAATAATTATATAAGATAGCAATATTAATAGATAGCAATAGTCAAAACAGCAATAAACGATGGTACATCTGTGCCATATTTTTTATAAAAAATGGTGATATGGTGACATTAAAAGGATAATAGACTGATAATGTAGAGGGATTATAGGTTGATGTTTTATTATAAATTACTGTCAGCCAAATGTCTTTCCATGTTATAATGGTAAAGTTCATCCTACGTTTTGTTCCAATCACCCCACATTTGCTTAAAGGCAAACCTGATTAGTGATGCTGTAACCTTATACACCTGTGGTTCTTTCTTTGCATTAACCATTAATCAGGGCTGCAAATTGCTTAGCTAGTTTTTGATTTTTAATGCATCTCCATAAATTATGGTCTAAATGCTGTCAAAGCCTTCCCCTAACACGACCACTTCATTTAATATATTTGACTATATTTCGCCTAAGAAGAGTCAAACTCAGCTTTCCCCTCCACTGAAAAGTGTCCTTTGAACATCCTCACTTCACTTGGACGTTTGCGCTCCACTGTGCTTCATGATGTATGTGCACAGACAGCAGAAGGCCGTTTTCACATCAATCTGCTGCAGGGGGAACGATTCTCTGGGATTAACAGAGAAACGTTCCCCGTTGAGCAGGATTTTATGATCACATCTAGTCTGAAAGCCAATCGTGATCAAATATGTAACTCACTAGGCACCTCAGTGAATCGCACCGCAGGAGCCTTCGGCACACGTCCAAGTGAGAGACATCTCGGGTCCAGCAGTTAAGCTTCTGAGACAAATTATGTTAGCGTATTTATATATTCTGGGTGTTTCTAAGGGGGGAATAACTACATTTGATTTCAAGAATATTTCATGAGAAAGAAAAAAAATCTTTATGTAAAATCTATATCGGACACCTCTTCTTATTCATTCATATTTATAATTATATTATGTATAAAAGCAGAGTATTTTGTTTGTGTGGATCTTTACGTTTAGTAAAAACAATAATATTACAACCAGCGTCCTGTAGCTGCAGAATAAAATGAAACTGCTCCTTCAGGAAATTCCAATAACCTACATACAGAGGACATGAACTGTCCTCGTTGAGGACTTTAGCCCTGATTACAATTACTGTGAAACTACAATGGTAAACGCAGAGTGACAGTACAGTACCAGTATCAATGGAAGCCCCACAACTTGGAACTGGGTCCGTGACTAAAACCAGGCCAAAGTGGGACGTCTTTTCTACAGTGACTGCATTGTGTCAGAAATACAGTGCAAGGGCACAACGGGTAGCTGTTTGCAGTGTGACCTTTCTGCTACTTCCTGCCTGCTGGAAATGATTCATGCACACACTGGAAGCTGTGTCGCTCATGAGCGTGACCCGTGCCCCCTCCCGCCCTGAGCCAAAGCAGTTTACTGTCAACCACCAGAAATGCTTTGAACCGTTGCACAGATTGAGTTCCGGTGTAAAAAAAACGGATAAGAAGAAACGTTTGTAATCCTAAGTGATCCTTTTTTACCCCATCAAAAAACGACACCTTTAATTTGACTGACAATTCCCAATGAACACCCCTTAATACAAACGTGGCCGTCTGTTATCTGTTGGCGTGCAATCAGTTTGTCAGATTCTTTCATCTCTGTGTATCAGCCGCCTCTTTCCAAAATCAAGCAAACCTATTCATGTGCTCTATTCAAATAAAAAAAAAGGCAAATACTCTACTGGAGAGGAGCAGTAAGGACCTACGGCAGCGTCCTGAGCCAGAGAGGTGACGTCATGCAGCAGCGGTGGGACTCGCTCTCTGCGTCAGATGTGATACAGCAAAGGCTTCTGGGCCGTAGCGCTGCTCAATGTTGACGTTCAAAAAGATGGGGCTTAGAGCACAGCGCTGTGTATAGGTGTGTGTGTGTGTGTGTGTGTGTGTGTGTGTGTGTGTGTGTGTGTGTGTGTGTGTGTGTGTGTGGAGAGGATTACAAACCAGAGCGAGATTGAGTTAAATCAAGAAGGAGACAGAGAGTGTGTTGCTTTGCCATCCTGTGTGTCAGCTCTGATCAGAGACAAACCAGAGCCACCTGAGCCCCAAACCTGGAACATATTTCTGCCAGGAAGAGTGTCACATGTCTCAGACTCACTCACACAGAATGTTAATAACACGGCCACACTGTGCACACATGCAGGCAGTGAAAGGAAGCGCTCCAGCAAAACCAAATCGACATGGACACTTCAGCTTACAGCGGGATCACTAACTTTTAAATGTCGTTGCTGGTTCTGACAACATGGTTGCCGTTTTTAGTCCCCTAATATTTTGAACAATTAAGATGTAAGCAGTGGTATGTCACCGTGATCCTAGAAATGTAAAAGCATCATTGGTTGGTAACTCTGGTATTTGATGCGTGTGGTGCAGAGCTAAACTTGCACTAGCAAGCCTTTCACCAGTGTTTACAACAACACACATATTTACAGATTTAGTTAAATTGACTATAAAGATGATACTGACAATATAGGAAACAAAATGTCTAGAAAAAAATAAATAAATAACAACTGTTCTTCCATCTCTTAAACTCCCTCTGCCTTTATTAGAGAGGTCACATTCGGTCATTTGAGAGGAGGCATAAAGCAGTACTTTGATCTGCAATATGCAGTCAGCCACTTCCGACTCCTCTAAGGTCCCTACAATGATTTAATCCATTGTGATTAGCCATTCACCAAGTTCAACCAGATTAGAGCCTCTAGATCTCGTGCTCTGATGAAAAGACAAATGAGGAAAATAGTGCCAGAAAGGCATTGAAAGAAAAAAGTTTTAGAGTGAAAGCTTCGTTTTCCCATTTAAATAGGCTTCGTCCTTTCAAGGTAACATGTTGCAAATCATATGATGGATTAAAAATGCACTCAATATTTATCATCACTATCAATAGGAATACGAACCATACAGCCGGGTATTTAATTATAGTCTTACTATTGTGTATCGTTCTTCAATCAAAGTAGTGAATGGTTTTCATTTACTTTCAACAAATCTCTTAGCAAATGTTATTTGTAACGTAGACTGCAGATTCTCTTCTTTAATAACACAATTAGTTGGGTGCATGTTTATTGAACGAATGGAGCTTCCTTTAGTTTGATGTAAAATCAAGGCTACGTTTTATGTGAGCCAGGTGTGGGATTGCATGCGGCTCCCCACACTTCCTTTTAAACAAAAAATAATCTAAAGTGGATTTCAGGGTTAATTGTGATTTCCTTTGTGCTTGGAAATAAGGTTTGTTCTGATAGCATAAATTGAGCTTGTAAGAGAAACCTTTCCTTATTCCTTCCTTGATTTCTTGGAGGATGCATTCAGGTAAACAACAATTCTTTTTTATCAGGACTCTGCTAGA